ATTTGCGACTCTGGTAGAGCATCGCTCTGAAGAGGAATCAAAAAATGTGACCAGGCTGAAGTTCGGCTACAAAAAAGGAACCAACAAACTGCCCGCTTGGGGTGTCTTTGCACCGCCCAGGGCAACACGGTGCAGGAGCGAAGCTAAACCCCCTGTCGCATAATTTTATTACATGGCGTTGAGAGCCTGCCGAGAGTATTGCCTGCTGCGGTTGCCTCAGTGTTGAGTGACATTATGGCGAGGAGGAGGAGGAGGAACCAGGCACGTTTAAGGCAGGCTGGGCAGGCGCTTATCCTGTCATTTCTGCATGGGCGGCAAGCCCAGCCACCCAATCATAACGTTCCATACAATGACGATTAGACAGGCTTTGATACTTGACACCGACGAATTGAGTGGGTGGTGTCATTTCGGTCTGAGTACATGGAGGATGGCTGAGTCCAAGGCCCATGAGCTTTAGCCATATCGATCTCGAGGTATACTCACAGTTGCGCATCGATGGCGAGGTGATTGTTGTCGATACTGAAGTAGTTATACACAACCAACTGAGGTTGAACCGAAAGCCGACAGTAACAACTCTGATGAGCAGAAATTAGCAGTTCAAAATGATGAATCTGAACAGAACCAACTTGAAGTGCCACATGACAGCGATGTCCTCATTTATGTACCTAAGGTGGCCAAAAGCCGCTACCTGTAATCGTGTTCGTTCCTCGTTATCCCTAGATGCTCTATCAACGGGATGTCAAGCATGAGCCAGCCTTCTGATCAACCCAACGCCGGATGCCCAGTTCTTATCCAAGTTACGCCATGCATCCAATGCTATCGAACCGGTGTTGCAATGAAGATCAAGAAAAAAGGGGTATTTCATCAAACCGCAAAACCAAGTTGATCTCGCTCATCGTCCACAAGTCGTCCCCATTCCAGCAGTAGCCGAAACATGTAGATACGCATGTCTTCTCTACGGAGCGCTTTGCGGCTCCACGCCCTGCCCTCTTCCGCAATGGCCTCTGCTCGCCTCTTGCCTTCCGTGTCAATTCCAAAGTACGAAAGGAGATCCCACAGCTCGTGGAGTCGCACATCGACCGGGACGTAGTGACGCCACGCGTGGACCCTCTCGTTGAACCAAGTCCGGAAGAGGCCGGAGCGGTATACGAGACTCTTGCTGCGGAGGAAGGGGATGAAGCGCCCGCTGAATCCCGCGCCGTCGAGGTCCATCAGGTGTGCGTACTTCCAATGGTCGGTGAAGGGGACCTGGGACTTGTCGGGTGAGTCCTGGCCGATGCCCCAGAAGGTATCCTTTTCGCTTTGGCAGTCCTCTCGGTGACACTTGGTCCATCTGCTCACGAAGCCAACATCAAAATTTGGCAGATCATCCGGTCCCAAGACCAGTGTCCGACCATCCTGTTGGAGTTTGGTAACCCTCATAATCGAATTTGCAGCTTGGACGAACCGAGCCCTGAGGAAACCCTGCCACGAGCCCCAGGCTGCATACCCATCCGACGATGACCCCCTCCAGAACATGGTGTTCTTCTTCTTGCTCCATTCCACGTCCTCGTTCTCATCGTACGCGGCCTTGTCGTCGTAATTCCAAGGCGAAGGCACCAATATATCAGCAAACCCCGACGTTCTGCTTTGACTGAACACGGGAAACGCATCTCTGGTGAAAAGGGCCGGCGCCGGAGACAATAGAAATCCGTGAAGGTATGCCAAGTCCGGCTGGTGGCAGAGGTCTGTAGCTGAGGTCCAGTTCGAGACGACGGGGTTCTCGAGCGCCTCAAAGACGCGGATAGCATGTGGCAGGAGACACCCACGGCACGCCTCTTTGCGGCTCCACCATCTCGTGTTCCGGGCGGCCGAGTCAGGCGGACAGGTTGGAGCAACAAAGTCGTAGTAGTTTTGATCTCGGATGCGGTCTTCGAAGAAGGGTGACCGCTGCTCAGGTCCCTTAACAGCATCGTCGTCACCCCAAACTGCTGACTTGGATCTGTCAAACGTCTTTCGATCCTCCGAATTGAGGAGCCTCGTCCTCGATTCCAAGCCAACGCCGTGAAGTCCAGACATGTCTTCGAAAGGGATCGCCACGCGAGGCTCGTCGTTCAGGTTGATGGCAAGGTCCATGTCGGGGAGATGCTCGGCAAAGTCCTCAATCATGTTCTTCATAGATGTCATCATCCACATGTGGGATCCAGGCGTACCGGGAGCCACATTGACCTTTCCCCCACGAATCCGAATGCCTCCAATGCCAAGCCACGGTATCTCCAAGGAATGCTTGGTACGATCTCGCAGGACCTTCGGCTCAACGCCCCAAAACGGGAGTAAATCGTCGTTTATCTGGGTGAAATCGTCGATGATGGGCGAACCGTTGGTGACAGCGTACTCGTACCACTTATCAAAGTTGGGAGGTGGTGCCACACCATAACGCTGTTGATATTCTTTCGCCGCGACCTCGAGGGTGGAGCTCTGATTCGCTCTCGCGATCCAGGCGTCGGATTTGGTATTGGCCGTAGAGAGAAGATCAGGGAAGGATAGAGTATCGGTGGAGTTAAAGTCCGGGTAAAAGATAAGGTAGGTTCCGCAGAGGACGCCAACCAGGACGACGTACCACATCAAGAGAAACCTAATGAGCCGTGGATCTCCCGGCGAAGATCCAGAAGCGCTGGCGATATCCTTCTCGTATCGCAAAAGGAGGCCGACGCCGACTATCGTAAGACCACTAGCTATCATGTAGGGCAGAGAGCCGTCCATGGGTAGCGCGGTTTGCAGCATGCGGACGAGCTGATGGGCATAAACGCCTGAAGCAGTGACAATCATGCCCAACGTGCTAGGATGCATGTCACTCATGACATAAAATCCCAATATCAGCCCCAGCGACGCCACTGTGCTGTCCGTCAGTAGATCTCTGATCTCGACAAAGTGAAGTCCAAACGCCCAGCGGGTGTTTCGAGCGTTATGGAGGGAGAAACAGGCAAGCAAAGCCAGAACACCTGCGGACCCTAGAAAGAGTTTTGACACGAATCCCCAAGCCTGCGGTGCATCATCCACGGTGTCCTGCCGCCATTTCGACAGGTAAAACAGCAGCAGCGCATCCAAAATGACAGTAACGACCTGGGCTATGGGGATCTGTCTCTCCCACCGAAGAAAGCCTGCTGGACATATTGCGCCAGCCGACTGTGTTGATAGGGCGAGAGTGGCCCTCGTGGCGCAGGCCCAAGCGATGGCGATGACGAAGTAGCGCAAGTGAGCAACATTACAGCAGCGTCGAGATCGAGCTTGGTCACCGTTGTGTTGTTGGAGTCGTATGGTGGAGGGAGAAAACGTTGTGTAAAGGACGACAAGAGCTGGGAGGAATACCTGTGCGCGGCGTGTTAGTTCTTCGCGGCCATGGGAATTCTTCAGCATTGCGATAGCTCTCGGTCTACGAACCTCGAAGCTCTCCCAAGAGCAGTGAATCGTGCGGATAGTGCGCCAAAAGAGCAGCGATCGCAGTACAATAGCGCATCCTAGGAAGAAATAGGGCGACAACAAGAACCGAGGGTTGCGCGCGACATCGATGCCAGCTTGGAGTCGTTTTCGCCAGCCATTTTTCGAGGTTGAAAAGGTTGCCAGTTGATACCCGCTGCTGCTTGCACTTTTCCAGGGCGAGATCTGTCTGCACCATATCGCAATGAGTAGACCGGACTCGAGGAGCGTCAAGATGGAGAAGTGTATTGGCCGCTCTGCTTGGTGTTAGTAATTGTCGTCCATGCAATGGTTATGTCGCAATCTGTAAGCAAGGCGAGGTAGAGAGAGTCCGTGGGTTTACTGACCAAAAGCAGCGCTGCTGTTAAACCGTGAGGATATCCATGCTGTGCATGCAAGTAGTAGAATACTTGGAACGGATTTAATGTCAGCAATGTCACTGGCGCAAATCCAAATACAATTAGGCGAGACATGGGAGAAATTGTGTCAAAAAGCTGCAGGTTTTGAGACTTTTTCTGATGCCATCTGAGACCGCATAGCAGGTAGAAGGTACACATAGTGCAGCAAGGAATGAGGGCGTTTACTCACCAAGCCGCCAAGATGCCATGTCTCTTCAGCGGGGCCGCCATCGGCCTTTGTCAACTTGCCCTACCCAGCGCCGGCTTGGCAAGCAGAGAGACGTCGACTCCAGATGTAACGGGATAAATTGATGACGGGGAAGTGATCTGGGATGCGCGAAGAAGAACCAAAGAAGAATGCCAAAAGGATCATGCTACTGTGAGGTAAGCAAAGTCCAATGCGACCATGACGTTCCTTGGTCTAATTCCTACACTCCGAGGCAAACAGGACTTTGCTTTAGTGTGGTGTCGCGGCGCGCGCCTATGAAAAGGATGGAAGCGGCAGGCAAGGTGACAAGACAACCCAAGGGGAGGTAAGTACTTGTAGCTAGGTAAGCTGACGGAGGGGTTTAAGGCTAAAGCAAGGTCAAAGCTGAACCAAGCCAAGATCAGAAATAGAGAAATGGAAGAGAGGGAACAAGGACAAAGACGGGGGGGAATGGGGGAAGAAGGAATAGAAGAAACATGCAAGACAAGGCCGGCTCGAGGATAGTGCTTTCTGAAGAATGGCTAGCGTACGCCCGACACACACACGAGTGACAAACAGAGACGTCCACCCGATGGGATACTTCGATACGGAGACTATCAGGTAATACTAAGGTATCTGGTATCTTGGGGCAATGGGGGGCCTGCTTGGCTGCAGTCGCTACTGTCGCTACACACACCCAAGACGTGTCGAATGAGGCACTTAATTGTTGTGATTGCTGTATAAGGTAATTACAGAGAGAGGTAGGTAGGTAACACGAGGCAAACAAGCAGACGGGAAGGGAAGCAAGCAACCACCATGGCACCAACGACGACTGCCAAGTGCCAAACCTTTCCTCTTTCTCACCCTTTAGTTAGAATTCGGGGAACTTGGAGGGGCTGGGAGAGTCCATCCAGCGTTTGCTGTGCCTTCTTTCTATCTCTGACCAAGGTACGGGCCAATCATGTTCTAGCGGGCCTCCCGTCCAGTACGGCGTAGCATTCTACCGTCATTGTGCCGTACAGCCGGTCCACACACGAGGGTGCACCAAGAACCTTGGTTGGAAGCTGCAAATCCCCGTCTGGTACGGAGTAGGTAGTAGTCTCTCCGACTCTCTGGCCCGTATCGTGTTGGACACTGGTCCATGGTCCATGGTCGTCCAAGGAACGTGGCGTTGGACGCGACGGGTTGGGATGCTTATGGGCCTTGGCCTGGGCCTGGGCCTGGACCTGTGTTGTCGCTTCGCTACAGAGACTGCGTACAAACGGGGCCGTTTGTATACTGGGGTTGAAGAACACGAAGAAGTCGTACGGAGTATGGAGTACCAGGGGAAAAAAACGGGAAACACAAACAGACGAAAGCATGGCGTCATGGGCGCAGCTTTCTGTAACGGTTGATGTGGCTTTCCCAGGAACGGGATGCGTAAGTACTCAGGTCCGTACCTTACCTTAGCTGACGGGTTCATCAAGCCATGCCCAAGTAACTGGAACCGGCAGAGAGAATATGAATAGGAGTCGAATCCTTACTTCGTACGCCTTACTCCTGACTTCGATCCGGAGGGATGCTTTCTGCACGGCCACAGTCGTACGTGTACCTCGTACCGCACATACTGGTCCTTGGTGAAAGCGGCTGTGGTTGTGTGTGGAGAAAAAAGAACGGAATCAATGCGACTCATGGACAATGCTTGCCCTCCGGCTCCATCCCTCGACATTCCGATCTGCGGGCCCGGTGGACCTGACCTTTGATGCTGCCATCTTTTTCTCATCTTTTTGGACCAGAAATCCGGAGCCGTGGTTTTGGGAGAATACAAGAGACGGAAAGGAATGCTAGTACGGCTGGCAAGATTGAGATGAACGACGTTGGCCAGAGTTCGGATGTCATGAGCGCAAAGGATGGAAGGACGAAATTCCAAGAACTCACCATTCATTTGCTGATACAAACACGAGTTCCTGGTACTTTTGCAACTTGCACGGACACCCAGAAACTCAACTTCTCAACCAATGTCGTGCGGAGAAATCAAGTCATTAATCCTTCTGCCTATTTCAATTACCGTGGGACCCCTAGCTGTCATCGGCTTTCCGCGTCGATCATGCTCAAGGAAACCTTCCTCTTCCTCGCCAGCCAACGGCACCGCAAAGCTTATTGTCGTCCAATTCTAAGCCGCATCTTTCCCATGTGAGATATACACCATACCTTACCGTCCGATACGGTAAGACGAAGGAAGCCTCACATTTCAGCCACATGTCAGCTCCTGACCTCGTCTTGTCCGATGCCGGTCTCTTGCTCTCATCGGGAGCATCAAATCTGTGAATACCACCTTATTCGGCCATCACAAACAGTGTCGACATCCTGTCAAGTCACGCTGCAATCATCGAAATCCACCAATGGACGCTCAAATCGTTCATGACACTGCCATTGATTCATTCAGCCCAAGATTGATCCCCTCCGGTCTATGGTATTCACTTTTTGTCTTTTGACCCAACGTCAACATGCAAATATGACTTTTTTCTTGCTCTCTCTTGACCTCCCATTCCTGCCGAGAAAACCCTCATGTGCTGCCATCACTGGCATGTCGTTTAAGCGCGCTGCCGTTGTCTAGGAGCAGCGCGAATGATGTCGTCTACGCGGAGAAGAAGCTACTGTGTGTTAGTCATTCATCCCAGACATCATCTCTCAATCAACACCAAAGGCGTTGCTAGGCGGGTATGGCACGTACCTCTGCTGCCTCACTGGCAGACGAAACAACCGCTCTCTTCAGCTTGTAACTCTCGACGACACCCAAGTCGCGCATGTCGGTGATACCACCGCCGGGCGACAGCAGGTCCAAACCATAATTCGTCATGCCGTCGTAAATCGCCTTTCTCAGACGGGCCACAAGCTCGCCAGAGTCGAGACCTGCGTTGTCGGCCAAAATGGTGGGCAGCTGGCGCAGCGCAGTCGCAAAGCTGCTGACAGCCATCTGCTTCTTGCCCTCAACGCGAGTGGCGGCACCCTCGACAGCCTTGGCCATAACCATCTCAGCACATCCACCACCCAGAGTGGTCCATGGCTCCTTCACCGTCTGTGACAGGACGGCAAGCGCGTCGTGCAGACTGCGCTCTGCCTCGTCCAGAAGCTGATCTGTGGCACCACGCAGCACAATGGTGCATGCCTCGCCAGCAGCGACACCAGAGAACTTGATCAAGGTGTCCTCGCCAATGATGACCTCCTCAATAAGCTCGCATTGTCCCAACTTGACCTGGTCAGGGTGGTCAAAAGTTGAGGCAATCTCACCACCCGTCACCAACGCCAATCTCTCAATACCATCAAAATCGGCGTGCTCGATAGACATGATGCCGGCGTCCGTGAAAAGCTGCTCGGGCCAGTTGTAGATGAGTTGTCTGTTGATGAAGCAGTTGATGCCGTGCGACTTAATCTTCTCCACCTTTGCCTTCATCTTCTCCTTCTCGGCCTTCTCGAGGTCGGCCAGCTTGCTCGTCGTTGACACCTTGACGCGAGCGCCAAAGATCTTGATCTTGTCTGTGTCCATAGAGGTGTTGGCGACCAGGATCTTGGCCTTCTCGAGGCGCTTGGGCTGGTTGACACCAATTTTCTTGTCGAGAATGAAACCCTCGTCGAGGTACGAGTCGCTCAACTTGCCACCGGCCTTCTTGATGATTTGGATATGGCTCAGGTCGGAGGAGTTCTTGAGTCGCAGCACGGCATCGCAGGCGAGCTTGGAGAAATGGTCGCGGTCCTGGGCCAGGACCTTGGAGCTGAGGGTTGTGCGGGCAATGGCCTGTAGGTCTTTTCTGAATGCCTCGGGAGTGTTGCTGCGGTCGACGGCTGACTCCTTCAGGGCCTTGAGGGCGGCCTGGCTTGCTATCCGGTATCCCTCGATAATGGTCTGGGGGTGGATCTTCTTGTCGACGAGCTTCTCAGCTTCGCGCAGAAGCTCCGCCGCAAGGACGGCAACGGAGGTGGTACCATCACCGACTTCATCGTCCTGGACCTTGGAGATGTTGACCAGCACCTTGGCCGCCGCGTTGTCGAGAGCAATGGACTTCAGAATGGTAGCGCCGTCGTTCGTGACCATGATCTCGCCAGTCGATCTGGACGTTTGTCAGCCATGTCAGTGGATCAAGGCGGTAGATGGGGGGTTATTGAATTTGGCGGGGTTCAACATACGCAGACTGCAGAATCTTGTCCATACCCTTGGGGCCGAGAGTGCTCTTGACGAGGTCACCGACGGCGATGGCGCCAACGAAGGCGGAGAGACGGGCATTCTCTCCCTTCTCCTCGGTAGTTCCGTCCTCGAAGATTTGTGTCGGGCTGAAGGACGACTGGAGGGGCACCCATTTGTTAGCATCTTGGGCCACATCCAAGGGGGTATGGGTGTTTGAGACGAACCATGGTGAATGTGTATTATGCAAACACTCTGTATCGAAAGTCGAATCGGTGACTGGGTAGGTGGGGGGAAAGCAAAGGTATCTGGGTTGTACAATCCTCAGCCTTGGGAGAGCTTCACCGAGAAAATCGTCGTAGAAAATTTGGGGGGGTTCAGCCTGGCGAAGTGGGGTGTGCTGGACAGGAGCTTCCAGGCAGTGTGGTCAGCGAAGCAGAGCTGCTGTGGTGTTTCTACAGACGTCCATCCTCCACTGTAGCAATTACTAGTGGTCAGTGCGCGCTCATGGCAGCAATTGGGCACCTGGCGGGGTACATCTTATGGCGGGAGCTTCTCTGGGCGGTGAGAGACGTGACCCTGACGCAGTCCGATTGGGAAAGTGTACCTGACGGTGACGGCCGGCAGAATTCACACGTGACTCTCCTAGAGGTGGCCGTTGCGACGAGGTATTGAAGTACCTTACCCAAGGCCCCAGGCAGTAGCGAGGGGCTTTCTCGGGACCGGAACAACCAAATAATCCAGCCCACACGAATGTGCCATATCACCAAAAACTTTCCAAAACGAGGTCCAAATTGTGTGCGTGATAGTTGTTTGGTCCCCTTTGCCACCCCCTGTAGAACTCCCCTTCAAGACGTGAAATCCATTCAGTCGATAAGCCGCTAGCATCCAAATCTCCAGAGCTGTTTCGTAGAGTTTGCACCGAATTTGCCCTGCACCCAGAGCCACATTGAAGCGCTCCGCAAGCCGCAAACCCTCACAAAAAAACCGAGAAAATCGCGGGGCACTTTTCAACCACTGGAAAGCCACCCCAACCCCACTCTATTTGGCACCTCTTTTTTTCCTTCCCACCACAGAAAGGCCATCGCAACGCTTCCTCGCCGAGAGACACGCACCCCCTTCCCCTTCCGTCCTCCGATCCGAAGAATTCACAACCGCCACACCTCGACTGTTGACTGATCCAGTCGTCGCAATCATGGCGCCTTCTTTCGACCATCTGCGCGAGGCAGATCTCGACGACGACGAGTACGATGAGGAGGAGATCGACATCTCCGACCTGCGCGAGAAGTACGAGGTTCAGCTGGAGCAGGGATACGACACCTTCGTGGTCATCGATGGCCTTCCCGAAGTCAATGAGGACCAGAAGCCCAAGCTGGTCAAGTTCTTGCTGAAGAAGCTGAACTCTGTTGGAAAGACGAGAGAGGATCTGATTTACATGCCCATGGGCGACAATGGAAAGTCGCTGAGGTACGTTTGGCCTAGTGGATCACCGTCTCGGATTGACCCAGAGAGATGGAGATCGCGCTCGAGACAAGACAGCGATGCTGACGATGACCGCTCAGATTTGCCTTTGTCGAGTACTCCTCCCCCAGTGAAGCCGCCGCTGCCGTTCGTGGACTCGACCAGGTCCCTCTCGACAAGAAGCACACCCTCCGCGTCAACAAGCTCACCGATGTCGACCGCTACGGCCGCGAAGGCAAGGTCCACGAGGAGTACACCCCGCCTCACATTGAGGAGTTCACCGAGACCGAGCACCTGAGATCATTCATGAAGGACCCTAGCGGACGTGGAAGAGACCAGTTCGCCATGTACCGCGGCGACACCGTTGGCGTCTTCTGGAACAACGAGAAGGACGTCCCCGAGAACGTTGTTGACCGTCAAAACTGGACAGACAGCTTCATCCGCTGGTCACCACAGGGAACCTACCTCACCTCGGTCCACGCCCAGGGTGTTCAGACTTGGGGTGGCCCGTCATGGTCAAGGCAGAAGCGTTTCCCTCACCCCTTTGTCACCTTTGTCGACTGGTCTCCTTCCGAGAAGTACCTGGTGACATGGTCTGCTCGCCCCATCTCCATCCCCGACGAGGGCCACCCAGCCTTGTCTGTCGATGATGATGGCAAGAACTACGTTATCTGGAGTGTCGAGTCTGGCAAGCCCATTCGTTCCTTCGCCAACCTGGATATGGAGGGTATGGACGAGGCGAAGCAGCGCAAGCTGCTCTGGCCCGCTTTCAAGTGGTCCGCCGATGACAAGTACGTCGCGCGTCTCAACTACCAGACCGGTATCTCCGTCTACGAGCTCCCCCGCATGAACCTCCTCGACAAGACTTCCATCAAGATCGAGGGTATCATGGAGTTCGACTGGGCCCCGGCTAGCGTCCAAAGAGATGGTATCAAGACATATGAGCAGCTTCTTACCTACTGGACACCCGAAATTGGCAGCAACCCCGCCAAGGTTGGTCTTATGAGCATCCCCAGCAAGGAGGTTGTCCGTCAACTGCCCCTCTTCAGCGTCTCTGACGCCAAGCTCCACTGGCAATCCGATGCCTCATACCTCTGCGTCAAGGTCGATCGTCACTCCAAGTCCAAGAAGTCCCAGGCCACCACTCTCGAGATCTTCCGCATCAAGGAGAAGGGCGTTCCCGTCGAGGTTGTCGACACCATCAAGGACACAGTCATTAACTTTGCCTGGGAGCCCAAGGGTGACAGATTCGTCATCATCACGACAACGGAGCCCGTCGGCGCTGTCGCCGTCGCCCCCAAGACCTCCGTCTCCTTCTTCTGCCCCGAGAAGGCCAAGGGCAACGTCGTTGGTAACTTCAAGCACCTCCGCACCCTGGAGAAGAAGAACAGCAACGCCATCTACTGGTCCCCCCGCGGTAGATTCGTCGTGATCGCCACCGTCCACAACCAGCAGAGCTCCGACCTTGACTTCTTCGACCTCGACTTTGAGGGTGAGAAGCCCGAGTCAGACAAGGACCTGACCGCCAACCTCCAGCTCATGAACACCGGCGACCACTACGGTGTCACCGACATTGAGTGGGACCCCTCAGGACGTTTCGTCGCCACCTGGGCCTCCGCCTGGAAGCACTCTGTATGTGGTCATGCTTTTTCCCTGACCAAATGAACGCAATTACTAACGAAACGGACTATAGATGGAAAACGGATACCACATCTACGACTTCAAGGGTGAGGCTCTCCGCGAGGAGCCCGTCGAGAAGTTCAAGCAGCTCGCGTGGCGCCCTCGCCCCCCGACGCTGCTCACCAAGGAGGAGCAGAAGCAGATCCGCAAGAACCTGCGCGAGTACAGTCGCGTCTTCGAGCAGGAGGATATGGACCGTGGTGCCTCTGCCGACCGCGAGGTCGTCGAGGCCCGCCGTCGCCAGCTCGCCGAGTGGGTCGCCTGGCGCGAGTCCATCGAGGAGGAGGTCGCCGAGGAGCGCAAGGACCTCGGCCTGCCCTTGGACATTGTCGCCTACCTCCTCTCCCAGAAGACGCAGGCCAGCGAGGGCGAGGAGCAGATCATTGAGGAGATTGTGGAGGAGGTTCTCGAGGAGACGGAGGAGATTGTCAACTAAAAGGGTTAGTTAAGGCAAGAGATGACACATGAAGAGGTTGGGTGATATTTTTCGTTGTGTTTTTTAGATGAGGACGGAAGCAAACCAGCCATCGTCCGCCCACAAGTTGTCGTCGCAGTTCCTGGGAAAAGTAGCCAAAAAGGGGGCCATGATGAGGAGTGGAAAGTCTAAAGGGGGCCCGTCACAACAAGCCTTTCCCAGTTGTTTTCCCATTTGGGCGGTTAGGTGAGGTTGAGGCATCTGCACAGGAAGGTTAATTCACGGATTTGAAGACACACGTATTGCATGACGCTCGTGAGTGCAGCTGAAGTCAAGCTGTTCATGATGTCTATCGTGACTAAATGTTTGGGGGTATCTCGGTGATGGCATGCACGACGATACAGCCCAAGGTATCCTGCTTGATATGCGAGATGGACGATGCTCTTGTAGAGCCAATGGTAATCGAACGTCACATAACATCGAAGTATATCTTAGCTCAGATAAAGTCTTTGACAAGTCATATTCGCCTTGTGAAAGACCTTGATAGTCCTTGTAAAGCTACGTCACAGTAGTTGTCGCGATTGTCTCACTGTCTTGATGGACCATAGACGCAGATTTAAGTTGTAATACTAGCACACATGGGTTCTTCTACAATACGACTATGATACGAATGGGATATCAAAGAGGTGATCGACACCTCTGGGGAAAAAATAAAGCCATGAACCCCGCCCGGTTCAAGAAAATAAAGCAAGATGCGGATCGCTAGCGACGCCAGAAAATGTTTGATGCTAAAATCCAACCCCTGGGTCGTCTGTCTTACGGGGTAAACGACGCGCCCCTACACGACGACGGTGTAGAACCAATACAGGTTACATCCTCTATCCGGGATCGTCTCTCGTCCCAGGAGAAACATGAACATTGTTTTATCCGCAGGGAAAGCCGGGCCTGCCACGTTCCGCATGGTCAAGTTCCTCGGCGCCCAGCGTCTGTATATCTACATGCCACAATAAGAATGTCTGTCTTTGCCCATGAGGATGCTCGCGCACTGCGAAACTTCCAGGCGACAGATGAGAATAGTATATATCCCGTACAGGTAAAGAGACGAAAAAAAAACAAAAAGGGTTGCTACAAAAAACCAGCTCCCACAGGTAATGTCCATCGCGCCGCAGACGCCGGTTGCTCTTTATACACGCCCACTAGTAGACAGCTTGCAGCCGACTGCCTTATGTGAGCTGAGTTGAGTGCTGTTGGTTTTTCGGTGTATGTGCGATTGCCTCCGATGGAAGGGCCGGTACGACACCGGCCCAGGAGATTAGATATAAACAGTTAGGATCATGTCGTATTTTTCCAAAGCCGAAATATTCATCAAGCGTAAAAGGACTTTTCAATACGAGACCGTTCGGAATAGACTAGGCTTTGCCCGCTTCCCGAACGGATCGCATCCACTGGTCTTCGGCACCATCGTCGCCAACTACAGCCTTACGGCCATCCTTGTTGGCGCTGCTTTCGACCAGCTTCTTGGCTTCTCCAGCCGACTTGGCGCCAAGGAGTGCCATTTCGTGACGCATGAGCGTGGCCACAGCTGCTCGCACCAAGACCGCATCGCCCTCAAAGACGTAGACGTCCCACAGGCGAGCGGCTTCGTCCATAGCCAGATGTGTGGTTCCGAGTCCCATGAAGAAGTTGCCGAGGTAGAAATCTGCGTCACCCTCGGAAATATCTTTGGTCAGGTGCTCGTGAAGACGTGGAGCCTTGACGCTCAAAGTCTGCATCACGAGGTTGTAGGCTGAAGCCTTCGCACCGGGATCTTCTGAGTAAAAGCTCAGAGGCAACGGGCGGTTTAGGACGTTGGCCAGGGCGATAAATGTCGCGGACGGCGAGGGAAGGTTCAGTAACAGAAGGGCGGCGACGGTCTGCGAAGGGAGTTAGTTCATGATAGCACCCCAAACGATGTTTGTGAGACTTGAGATGGACTTACGTTGCAGCCCTTGACGTAGCCGATATCGCTCCGGTACAGCGCATAGGCGAACAGGACGTCAACGAGGCTCTGGTGAAGTGGCCCGCCGACTTGGAAAATTCGAAGATCCTGCCATGTGTGTTCGGCCACGTCTTTGCGGATAGCTGACAGCCATGCGGCTCTCTGGATATCCTCCGAATCGCCCTTGCCAGCCTTGACTCGCTCCTCGAGCTCCTGGGACCGGCCGAGGGCGGCCTTGTAGGACTTTCCCGACAGGCCAAGTTCGTTGCCAATGGCCCTGGACCAGACCTGACCTCTACTGCGCGGAGCGATTCCCTTCCACCACAGCTCACGGGTGCGACGTTCGCGGATTGCGTCGGTCCATCTCGGAATGATGTCGTCCTCCCAAATATGCATCAAGCTGTCGACCTTCAGATCGCGTGAAGATTTCCGCGCGAGACGCGAAGCCTCACGGCGGCGATCTGCCTCGGCGCTGCGTGCCATCATCTTCTTATATTCACGCAGATGACGCTTCTCTTCCGCGGGATCCTTGGGAGGAAGCCACGATGGTCTGGTGCGACTGAGCACAGCCTCCTTTTCCTTGGAAACTGGGAGTGGGTCGATCATGATGTTGGTTTGACTCCGGAGTGAAGGAAGTTCGGGAAGAGCGGACTTGACGCGGGGCTTCTGGGCGTGTTGTTCGAGAGATTTGCCATTCCACGTGTGACGTCCTGTAGGGTTGGCATTTTCAGCGGCCTTTTCACGCACATAATCCGAGTGCTCCTCGAGCTTCTCCGTCAAGTCCTTGGCATCGGCATTGAGTTCTGCCAGTGCGAGATTCCAGCTTCTTGCCCGAGTCTTGAGCGGTTCAGGGCCACGTTCTCCAATCGAGGACAGCGCAGTGTCGGACTTCCACGACGGTGAACGCAGGCATCCCGTCTCAACTGGGATTGGAGATGTCCCGTTGCCAACACTGCGAACACGTTCCTTTGGCGGCCGGTTAGGAGATGCTCCAGAGGAAGTTGGCCTGCTCGGCGTCCGCTCAAGCTTGGGTCGAGGAGAGATGGGAACATTGTCGAGAATAAGGCCGTCGGGAATGTCGTCCGTGTCATCCTCGTCGCACTCTTTTTCCAACTCAAATGTGGATTTTCTGTCTTGGTTTGACTGCCAGCTGCCCCGACGCGGTTTCAGGGGTACATTGGGGTCTCTCGGCAATAGTGAGAAGTTCGGGCTCGGGCTGCGGTTCTTGCGAGGGAATTGAAGGGAAGTCGTCGAGTGGCTCGCGAAACCTCGAGGGTTTACCGGGTTCACCGGGCTTCGACGGGGATCGGGAAGGCGGCCAGCGCTTGGGCTGCGGCGGTTGAGAACGTGGCTGTCGGTCTTCAAGCTCAAGAAAGGGGGTCGAGAGGAACCGCGAGAGTGGGGAGCGAGGTCTGCCGTGGGACCTGAGCTTCTAGGCTTCGCGAGGTCTCGTGTTACCGGCGGAGAGCGGGAATGGGGTGGTTTCCATGACGGAGGGCGGAAGTCGTTGGCGTAGGATCTCGAGTAAGGTTGAGAGGGCTTCGAATGGGGCTCGCGAACGCGTTGTGTGTCGTAATGAGAAGCATCGTCATCTAGACCGATTTCTTCAAAATGGCTAGCGTCGTCCAGGACGCTGTTGTCGTCGGAATGGAAGGACTTGAAGGAAGAGGACTTTGACGACTTTGAGGACGTCATACCTGGCGGTGAACCTGGACTGGGACCCGCGAGATCAACGTCTTGATGCCCGTATATCATCATTGCATCGCCGAGTATCGAGGAGAAGGAAAAGGAAGGAAACGAAAGGGAGGAAGAGAAAACAAGACAAAAAGCTTGTTTGGCGGTATCTCTGGTCGAGATTGTCGTGGCCAGGCCTTGGAAGGACGGGGCAACAGTCCAGAATAGGGTGGATGGTGGAGGGCCCCTTGGGCAGGTTGCTTGGGAGTCGGAACCTGGGTCTGGGTGCGGGTTGGTGGAGCAAGGGAAATGGACCAGGCTATGCTGTAATGATTGCTGGGATCTGGGCGTTGGAACCTTGAGGTGGGAGAGTGGTTGCGGGTTGCGCGGGTGGTTCGCAAGGCGCAATTATGCGTAGCGGGCAATCCCTGGCTCAGGGCTTGGCTGGTGCTTGGTCGTCTTGTCTTTCTGACGAGGGATGATGAGACGAGACGAAGGCAGACTGTCTGTGGGGAGGGACCCCTTGATGCTCAGCGTGTACGAAAGCCCAGGTGAAGTGTCTCGAAATGGCTGGGATAGTGACGGCGGGGTGGCCGGTTGTCAAGGTCACAGGACGTGTTGTATGGACAGCACGCAGTGATGGGAGTATGCGTCGTTAATCAGGACAAAATGGGATGATGGCAGTCGAAAGCGTTGACCTCGGGTCCGGTTATTGATATTATACGGGACTTGTTGTATAGTATGATACGTGATGGAAGAATGTACGTGTTGGCGATTGTTGGTGCGGTGCAGACGAGTGAACGAATGTACGGGTACGGATAGAGGAAACAGCGATGTAAAGTCCGTGAACGGCGACAATCTAGCGGTAAGAAGAGCGGTAACAGTTACTGGTGCGGTATGTCGAGGTCTAAGGTATGGATGCGTTGTTGGCAAGGTGAGGTAGCGAGCGACGGCATGTAATAGTGTATGAAGACCCGGACAATAATGCAGAGGTGTCAATTGATAGGCACGGACGGGATAGGGCTGGAGGGGTGAGTGAAACGAAAGGGATCCAAAGAATACTAAGGCAAGGTAAAAGTAGCGAGCGTGGGATGATGGATGGGATGCCAGAGGAGACTCGAGGTAGGTAGATGACGAGCCGAGTCCAAGACTTTCGAAATGGCAAAGGATAGTGAGAGAAAAAAAAAAAACAGATGACGGGAGATGAGGAGGGGTGAAGACGCAATGGGCAATTGGGTAGAGCCGAAATGACGGCAGATTGGAGAGAGCAAGCAAATGAGCGGCAAATCAACGATGAGTTGAGCTACGCATACAGCAGACAAGAGTGAAGTGAGCAGGGACAGGGAAGACAGCGGACGAGACAGGACGA